CTGGAGACTTGCGAAAAGTGTTTTGCAGTGAAAGAGCAAAGATGACAACACCTGGACAGGCAACTAGGGTAAGAATGTTGAGGATCAGCATTCATGCGTAATCGCCCTAGCAAGAAGCTTGCCTCACTCGGCCACTGAAGGTAATGATGTTATTAATTACGCAGCGATGAGACGCCATAGGCCCTCCCACAACCACCGATAATAACCAATTAGAACATAACTTTAGGAATTTAGAACACAAGGGAGGAGTTAACTACCCTCTGTCGTCAACAGCTGAATTAGCAAATTAAAACTATATATTACTGAATTTCGAGGGACTTGGGATTCTGATCTAACGCAGAATATTGAGTTGTCAGCCGAAGGCTCTCTTCAACATGGGCCTTGCGAGCGGAGGCAGTTTGCCTGCATCTGGTACTACAAGTAAGTTTCTTTACGCATAACAGCCATGTTGTTTAATAGTATTGTTGATAACAGTGTTGTTGAGTGATTTTAATGTGCAACTCCAGTGTACCCGGCGAGCCCTTAGGGGAGGAGACTAGAATAATGTAAAATGTAATTGCCTAGGATGTTAGTCAGGCAATAAGGGTTTTATAGTGTATGTGTCAAGGTTATGGTTAGCGTGTACGATACATATAGTATGTGGGAATTTAATATATATAACTAAGGGTAAATTATGTTAAGAGTGAACTTTACGAAGGATAGTGTAATCGTATCTAATGAATAGGAGGGAAACAGGATCCCATGGAACGATTAATACGTGCCATAGTCGAAGAGAGAGAGAGAGACTCCAGTTTCACACCCCCGAGGGCGAGGTTCCTAGTGTAGCGTGAAGTGAAGCTTATGTAGACCCGACTGAAAGTCGGCCTTGTTAATAATGTAAATATTGTAAATCATGTATATATAAGAGTGTAAATAGACAGAGTAGATAGATAGGATAGGACGTACCGGGATTGTGATTCACACCCCATAATCACCTTTCCAGCAGATCCTACCCAAAAGGAGAGTTGCAATAGCAGCCGAATGTTTAAGGAGAGGTACTAGGAATGGACAGGGATAGGCACCTGCCACACAGGCAGAGTTTAGTAGCCTTGATATCAACGCCCCCCTTAAGATGTAATAATAAGAATCATAATAATGTATTACGTTGCTACCTGTAGACCATATGAGGAGTGTCAAGAAGGGGCTATGACTATATGTCAGGGGGTAGTTCCCACAATAGAGAGGACATATAATAGATTGTGGCAGCTTTTTGAGAGAAGGAAACCCCCGAAACAGGAGAATCCTGGCAGAGGGTGAGCTAGGAGTATTGTGTTAACTCCTTACAGCATAAGCTGGGGTGGCAAGGAGGGGTACCTGCACACCTCCGTCGTCACGACGTTACAAGTGGTACCAGCGTCGCGACATTACAAGTGGAGGCGAGGAGGAATAACTCCATGCCCCCCTGCTTGCGACATAACAGTGGTGGCAGGGAGGGATAACTCCACGCCCCCCTGCGCCGTGACGTAACATCCAGCTATTGCTTATGGCTGAGGCATTATGTTAACGGCCGGAAGGTCTTGGGTTCGATTCCCGATAAGGTCATTCGATTTTTCAATTGACTTAATCTTTCCAGCCTCGCTGTGGCCCTGGGGTCGACTTAGCCTCTAACAGAAATGGATATTAGGAATCTTCCTGGGAGGGTAAAGGGCGGCCGGCGCGTAAAGCTGACCTCATCTCTGTCTGGGAGTCTATTGTCTAGAAAATGTGGGATCCTCGACGTCTCACAACCCTATGGGTCTCCATGACCTGTTACAGTGATATCTTTACATTTTTAGCTATATTAATATGATGACATTTTATGTTCTTTTGTTTTTATTCTTCTTGTACATCAGGCATCAGGCCCGAAGGCCTGTTGCGGATCCTGTTTGGCCTTACCATTTCTTTTTGGGTCGTCCACGGCTTCTTTTACCCTGAAGTCTAGTCCGTCATTTGTCTGAGAATTCTCTTTTCGCTCATGCGTTTTACGCGGTTTTTCCAGTTCTCTCTGTATGCGTGTCGTTCATTCATAATATCATTTGTAATCATATCTCGTCTTGTTACTCCAGTCACTGCTCTCAAGAACCGCACCTCGGCAGGCTGTAATCCGCTTTTACCCCTGGATGTCATAACCCGTGTTTCACCTCTCATTGCCATGGTTTTGTAGAAATTCATCTGGGTGTCTATCCTTGTTATATATTTCAGGTATATACTCGTATATATTTTGCTTTATATCTATGTCTAGTAAATATGAGATATAACATCAGGGAAAATTAAACTTGCCTTCTTGTTCTACCACTTGGGTTTCCAAAACGAATTTTGATTTAACGAGCGGTTTCCCCACGAATATAATTACTTTGGTTTTCTCAATATACATCTTGAGGTTATAGGTGATTTTTATTTTGTACAAATCGTAAAGGGCCCTCTGAATAGTATTTCCAACATCAACCATCACCACCTGCTCGTCAGCAAACATTCGCATTTTATGAAGTTCTTTTATCCAGAATTGGTCTGGGAAATTCAAAGCAAACGTCTGTCATTTCTATCTTTTCACACCATCGCCCAAATATAAATTAAACAACATGCGCAAGTTGTTGCATGATTTTCGAACGCCTTTGTTTTCTTTTTGACTGGGTGGTCATTATCTGCTTTCAAGAGGGTCCATACTGACCTACACAGCACGCAGGTTCAGGAGAAGCTCAGAAAGTTAATGTAAAATAGGAGAAAATTCTTCAAGACTTAGAAAACAGTCCGAACTTCTGCGACTGATATTCTCGTATTCAGCGCAAAAAGAAATCGTTCCGCGTGGAACTAAGTACAAGGCGCAATAAAGGACGTAAGCTCCACAGCCGCCTTCCATTTTTCCCCTAGTTTTATATTTTTCTTCTTTTATTCCTTAACTTTATCAACATTAACTCCAATTTGCATAGCTCTCTCGTACGATGTACTCGTATATAGTCAATTTCCAAGATTCACGAACTCCCTCTAGATTTGGATAACACTTCGTTAAAAGTTATGTTCCTCCACTGTCTGTGGAGACAGGGGCTAGCTCTGTCGATTGGGCGCAACTGAGTAGGCCTTTTACCTGAGAACGGAAGCAGAGTCGAGTCTCCAAAACCTTTTAAAATAGAAAAAAAAAAAGGACGGCTAACGTCCAGCAAGTCAATAACTCCGTTGACGGTTTGACAGGTTGAGACGTGAACATAACCACAAGTCCTCGTGTCTGACCTGTAAAACCTTGAAACGAAGGATCTTACTAGATAAAGCACGGGATGGATGATAAAGACAAAAGGCTAGTAGATAAGTAGCATTTTCGTGATAATCTGACAGTTACCGTTCCGCTCTCGACAATATTGACATTAGCCATCATCCAGGCTATCTAATCCCTGGTGCCATCAGCCAATCAGTTCAAGTGTTCTTTGTACACTACATCTCAGCGGCTAGTCGCTGGCCTCCCACCGCGGCGGCCCGGGTTCCATCCCGGGTCTGGTCAAGTGGGATTTGTGGTGGACAGTGTGGCGCTGGGGCAGGTTTTCTCCGAGTACTTCGATTTCCCTGCCAATTGCTCCACAATCACCCTCACCTATCATCTGGGGCTGGTACAATAGGCCAGAAGTGGCCGCAGTACAAATAACTTAGTCCCACCCCACTAGCAATACAAAAAGAAAGCCCCATATACATAAAACTAAACATTGCAGTTGGCAAACCTGGATCAAATGGAAGACTGCAAGTACCAGATATCTGCTGCTGGCAGTGACACTGAATTTGACCACATTTGAGAATTCTTCTCAAAGACATCACCATCCTTCTGCATACTGATGATGATGATGATGCCATTCGCCATGGTGAGACTAATGGAACTAAATGTAACCACTTGCTGGTATTACATGCCTCTGGAATCATGCAGCGCTGAAACTGTCACATGCAGCAATGCCATCTCACTGTCAAAAGCCTTTCACTGGTCCAAGACTCACATAACGAATATAATTACGTGAAATTTAATGACACTTCCATCACTTGTGCGGTGGTCAGTGCCGACAACCATCTCATCTACGTTATTTTCCGACTAAGAATGACCAATAAATAGACAAAACCCACAATTTTTCAGAGACTGAATCTGTCTCAGTCCTCAGAATGACCAGAAATATGAAAGAGCAGTCATTTCCATGAGAGTAAACTGATCCACCTTCTGCCCAACAACACAAAAAAAATCAGGGACTAGTGCCCCATTCAATCCTGCAGAACTCTCCCTGATTCACCTCATTAGTCCAGTACAGCCACAACACAGTTTTGTATGTGATACCTGTTCAAGTCCAACATTTGATGAAGTCTCAAAGTGAATACAGATGTCTGACAGGAAACCTGTGAATCAGTTCAACAGCCACTTCAGTGCAATGGCCCTTGAAATTGCTTTAACAAAATGTTCATGACACAGAATATCAGAATATTGAGCTCTGTTTCTATCAACACATGAGGAGGTATGGAGCATGCAGCAGTCAGTACAACCTTCAGCAGCCAGGTGCTCCACCCCAATGTTAAAATTTGGCTTCCAACCTGAGAGTACTACTGCCCTTGACATTTCCACCTTATTCTTTATGTGGGTCACCCTGCAATCAACCCTCTCCATCAGTCCTGTCCTCCACTCCACCTCCTCCTCCTCAGTTTCCTCACCTGCTGTTCCCTCTGGATCTTACAGGCACATTGCCTGTGGTTCTTTGGCGTTTATTTTCTTGTTCAAAACCTTCTCCGGAAATACATTTCTGCTCATTCTCAAAACATGTTCATACCATATTATTAAGTTACTTATTAATCTTACAATTCATTTCTCATTTCCTATTCTCTCCCTCCTAGTTCCTCTACACTCCTTACACATTTCTCTTAGTCTGCTGATACAATGTCACTATTTTGGGGGAATTTACAATCCCCTATTCCCAGATGATTAAAGGTAACACTGACAGTACAGGTTTATCAAATAAGAGATAAGCTTGCTGACAATCACTTTATTTTTTGATCATAATAAAATATGTGACATTAGAAACCTTTATAATCAGAACTCTCTTTGTATATATACTCATTTTGTAATGGCTAATAGTAACTATCTGAAGGGAATAAAAATCAACACAATTATTTACATTCACCTTAAGGCAAAATTATTTTAGTGGAGTGGAATATCTGGCACTTTGGACTGAACCTCAAGGGATCACCAGCAGCAACACAAATGCTCCAGCTAACACAGTTACAAAGGCCACAAGCAAATATCACCAAGTTTCAGCCAATTACCTGAATAACACAGCTGACATAGAGAACAAGCTGTTTTTCTGTATCTGCATAAACAGATGACGCCACAAATGTCCCACGTTTCTGAATGTTCATAGTTATGTGGTGCATCACTTGGAATATGTTTTTATTGGTTTATTTAATGATCTCTCAATTGCAGGCTTCATGTCTGCACCTCAGATACACAGTTTTACACCAAATGGGACTCTCTCCAATTATAATAATAAAATCACATAAGCTAAATGTGAATCACAAATACAAGTCAACAGTTTATTTTGGAAAGAGAACATCTGCCTTTCAGCCATGTGACAAGTCTGCTTTCTCTACTAATTAGCTGAAGAACAGACCTACAGATTGTCCACTACAAATTTACATTCATTCTGAGGTACATGTATCGTGTAGCTTCTCAAGATAATCTTAAAAAAGAAACAACACATTGTGTTCTGAACACCCCAGCCTGACAATAGAAGAACATGGTCACAAAGAAATCATGTGTTCAGAACAACATTAAGCCGCAAATTGGCCATTTCTTTCACCTCAGGAACAAGGTTTTGGACTTTAATCATAACAAGTAACCATTTCCTTCAGTTTTAACCCTGGTCCTAATGTTTCCAACCTTTGGAGGGGGAAAAAAAAGCAGGTAAGCAAGAAGCGTAACACCTAGCTGAAATGTGGGGCTTGCTACACCAAGCTAAGAGATTAAGGCATACTGTCCCATTAACAATAGATAAATAATAAACATTGTTCCCATGAATATTGTCTGTTAACTTACACAAAAATATTTTATACAAGCATGGCTCTATGTCCTTTATTTTCAGTTACACTACCTGTAAAATGTGGCATTTCTGTTTCTTAGGAATCAACAAGCAAAATTAATAAAATTAACTAAACAGCAAATGTCTTTCTTTTTACAGTACAGGGTAGTTTTCAACCCCAACCCCACCCCCCCACCCATCCCACTTGGACTACTGTCCCGAGTCTCCTAACCCTCAGCCATCAGAAGATGCGAGTGTGCAATTTCCCTAGCTACTGTAGTACGTCTCCAGAAATGATGTCCATGTCTTCTTGAGGACTGGAAATAAAAGCTGCAGTGATCTCTTGTTACTGAAGTAGCTGATCTGAGGGGGCTGAATTATGTTTCCATCAGGCTAATTCGCTGACTGATGCTCAGTCACTGGAGCAGCTGTCACTGGTGAAGCAGGTTCTTCACTGGATGAACCTGATGCTGCCCATACTGAAACACACATTCCTTTGTTTCGATGTGAGGTTCTCATTGCAATGACAATAAACAGTACTATCTAACTGCTCCTATGCCAAGCAAGTGTTACTCTGAAAATGGTGGAAGTACATCCCTCTCACACATCAGTGAACTTCTACCAGACTAGAGTTAAATCCCAAAGGCAGTAATCCTCACATGTTCAGATGTGAGAAGTATATTGTGAATACTGAAATTACCTTACACATTTCAGCCTGTTTGAGCCATCATCAGAGGTTTCATCAACATTCACTGGATATACTGTACAAATTTGCAATATGTGTATATACAGTGCGTACAATCAAGTGCGCGCCGCGGCTGCAATTTGCCGTGAGTCATACCACCGCAGAACAGATGCAGTCACGGGGAGGAGTTGCAACTCCTCCCCGCGACTGCATCCGTTCTGCGGTGGTATGACTCACGGCAAATTGCAGCCGCGGCGCGCACTTGATTGTACGCACTGTATATACACATATTGCAAATTTGTACAGTATATCCAGTGAATGTTGATGAAACCTCTGATGATGGCTCAAACAGGCTGAAATGTGTAAGGTAATTTCAGTATTCACAATATACTTCTCACATCTGAACATGTGAGGATTACTGCCTTTGGGATTTAACTCTAGTCTGGTAGAAGTTCACTGATGTGTGAGAGGGATGTACTTCCACCATTTTCAGAGTAACACTTGCTTGGCATAGGAGCAGTTAGATAGTACTGTTTATTGTCATTGCAATGAGAACCTCACATCGAAACAAAGGAATGTGTGTTTCAGTATGGGCAGCATCAGGTTCATCCAGTGAAGAACCTGCTTCACCAGTGACAGCTGCTCCAGTGACTGAGCATCAGTCAGCGAATTAGCCTGATGGAAACATAATTCAGCCCCCTCAGATCAGCTACTTCAGTAACAAGAGATCACTGCAGCTTTTATTTCCAGTCCTCAAGAAGACATGGACATCATTTCTGGAGACGTACTACAGTAGCTAGGGAAATTGCACACTCGCATCTTCTGATGGCTGAGGGTTAGGAGACTCGGGACAGTAGTNTTCTCGTTTGCGCAACATGTCACAGTATGTTGCAATTGTGAGAAGCAGTGCATCTGCATATAGGAACACATTATATCATGCAAGTATGAATGCTTAAACATAAGAGGACATGTTGATATGGGGATCTGCATGGTGGCAGACCTACAGTCACTCAGACAATCAAGAACCATTTTCCTTTTTATGATACCTGAAGAATGATCACTGTATTCACGGGAACCACCACTGGTTCTTATCCCTAGCCAGACGAGCCACTCCACACGCTCACATTCTATTTGTTTCAATCCAGTTTAATACTATCCTACCACACACGCCTACATCTCTGAAACGGTCCCTTTTCTTCTCCAGCGTAAGAGAATTCATGTGCCATGAAGAGATGAACTACTAGTGCACCATAACACTTATAAGTGTGTCATGAGATACTTAACTACTACATTGCATTCAATCAAGGGAGAAACTTTACAACACCACTGACCACGGCCAAAAATCATCACGGATTGCTGCTATAACTGCCGATAGCAGAATGAGTCATTAGAGCCAATAAAGGTGCACGGTGGTGGGGTGATCTTGTCACCGGAGTTAAGTCGCATTAATAGTTAGTCTGTGTTAGAGATTTCGATAGGCGGCCGACATTTATACTGAAACCAAGTTCACTACTGAACAGCGTGTCTATCATCAAAATTTTTCCAAGGAAAGAGAAACTTACAAAAAATATCAGTAAGTTTCATTGTAAATATCCTGATTCGCCAGTTCCCACGTCATGTGTATCCAAGCTTGTGAAAACGTGGCGGGCCACAGGTTCAGTGTGTGACATAAAGAAGCAATCGAAGAGGAGTGTACTAACTGAAGAAAAAGTTTGGTATATTGAGGCACAACTATTTTTTTATTGCTAGTGGGGTGGGACTAAGTCCCTTGTACTGCGGCCACTTCTGGCCTATTGTACCAGCCCCAGATGATAGGTGAGGGTGATTGTGGAGCAACTGGTGGAATGAAGATTGGCAAGGGAAGCCCAAGTACTCAGAGAAAACCTGCCCCAGCGCCACTTTGTCCACCACAAATCACGAGGTGCAACTACAGATCAGTCCTCGAAAATCGTAAGACGCTTAGCACAGGAAACCAGAGGTTTCTCTAGGATCTGCTTTCACAGCCACAAAATTAATAAAATTTCGCCTGTATAAAATAACAGTTTTGCATAAGCTGAAACAACCAGATTATGCAGGGAAGAATTCATTTTTGCAGCTGGCTGCTGCAAAATGTGCATGATGGAATCGTGGATCCACAGCTTCTGTTTATGACTGATGAGGCGTGCTTTCACGTTAGTGTTCATGTCAGTGCACAAAATGTAAGAATATGGAGTGATGGAAATCCTCACGCTATACAGCAAGTGCCATTACATACTGAAAAGGTGGAGGTGTAGTGTACTGTAAGTCCGCGGTGAATCATTAGCCCCTTATTTTTCCACGAAACCGTGAACTCTGACCACTATGTTAATAACATACTGAATCCGTTCTTCAAACAGCTGACTGCTGAAGATAATATGGGTATGTTGAGCAAGACAGTGCTACAGCACATATGGCTGATGGCCCCCCAGATCTCAATTTCTGCAATTTTTATCTTTGGGGAAACCTTACGGGAAACATCTACAATAATAATCCTCACACCACTGAAGCTCTGTAGAATGAAATAACAGGCATAATTAGTTCAATTACTGTGGACAACTTCAGAAAGGGTCCCATAATTTATGCAATGCAAGGCATGTTTGCAAGCAGAAGGGGGTCACTTTCAGCACTTGTTATAAAGCAAGGTAAGTTTGTGTTATCTTTTTATGGTATTCTTATAATGTGTGTATGTACAGAAACTGATGTGAGGGAATAGTCGCAGAGAAACGATCCATCCACTCTATGCTAGCAAGAGAGTGCGTGTTTATCAGCGCTGATGACTCATTCTGCTATTGGCAGTTATAAGCAATCTGTGAGAAATATTGTACCCGACTCACGCTACTCCCCCGGTTTCCTCGATGAATGAACACCCTGTAGTATGCTGCACAATACTATGCTATTAATGTGCCACCATTTGCCAAGGGTCAAAAGACACTAAGCTAAGACATGACACACTCTTGCAATATATTCTGTGGGGCTGGCTGCCACGTTTTCAGAATATTTTCTGCCTCTTGTGCCATGTGTTATTGAGTCCTGTAGCCCATCAGATCTGAGGGGTTGCAATTATAAAAACACATATTACTCTATCACTTACCAATCAGGACTACAAGTAACAGCAGTGCTATTACGCCAATAATTATCATCATCTGCAACAAACAAACAAACAACTCAACTTAGGCTGTAGTCTTCCTGATCAAGGTACATGGTTATGAATGTTTTGGACAAACCTGCTGCCTCCATCTTCAGGGATGAATGTGTTGAAACTCTGTGAAATGAGCCCCTCCATAAGTCCCTTGAACTGTTATGCTCCCCCCACAAACTCGCTACAATCCCTATCAGTCATCCATCCATTCTTTTCACACGAATGCTGGCAACAAGCACTTCTGGGCTAATGACACAGGTCACAGAGAATTAACAGCACACAGGGACTTTGAAGCCTCAACTACCATCAAACCTGCAGGCCAAGTCACCCCCACCTGTATACTGATGGCAGTCCCTGGAAAAAGTTGGCTGCCCTCTCTAAGGGTGATAATTTGGGACTGGATTTTTACACCCTAATCCCTTAAATATGTGCACATTTATGCATGAAAAATTTCCTATTAAATATCAAAATTGATTTTACATTATTTTAAAGCTGACAAATCAATATTTAAGTTAATTTTATGTAATCACTGATTGATTCAATTGCAATGAAAAGCTGTACAAATAAAAATCATGCAACAAAACCAACATTTTTTCATTATAAGTTAAAAAACCAATGGTACTCATATTTAGCTCTCAAAGGTTTAAACTTTTCTCCTGTTGTAGTTCAGTTACTAAATGTTTTAGGTTTTCCATAGTTAGTCACCTTCTATTGTCTTGTAAGATGTCCTTATAGCAGGAAAAACTTCTTTCCACCTCGCAGAAACTTAAGGGTGCACATACAAAATCCACTATTTGCTCCACTGTTAGTGATTTTTACTTCGCAGTACATTTACCAGCTAAAATTTCTTCAGTTTCACAAATTTGTTCACATCCTGGGTCTTTTGAAAGAATGCTGTATACTTCTTCCTCTACTACTTCACCAACTCTTCCAGCAAGCGAATTCAATTTGAAAACAGTGGTTTTGAATACACTTAATGACTGATACAAAGTAGTATTGCTATTGCTTGCCTCCAGTGAGGAAATGGCGGACGGAAGATGAGAGAAGTGAGCAGATATATAGGAAAGATTACTTTCTAGTTCTGCATTTTATAGTACATCTTGGGCAATTTGAATTTATGCTGCACTTTTGGAATCAAATATATTCATGAGATTCCTAATTGTTCCTAAATGTTCTGTATAACAACTCAACTGCACACAGCGCATGCCCCAGCGTGTTATAACTGGTTCTGGCAGAAGTGAAACACCCATGCCTGCACATGCACGCACACACATACGAAATGGATCCTCTAGTCAAGTGGCAAATCTACCCACTTCCTTTTCCGGGAGCACATAATGCTGTGGCATACATATCTGTTTATGTTCCTTCAGTTTCAGGGGAGCGCAACAACGGTCAGAATGGAAAATCTGCCACTGCTGGACATGCACTGGATTAGTAATTATAAAAGTAAAGTTGTCCCTCTGCTTAATTAATGATTAATGCCATGAAGATGTATTGGGGAGTGATGGTATGGCTCCACACCCCAGCCACATTACCAGCCTGGGCACCGCAGACAAGAGAAAAGGAAGATTGCCAGTCACTGAATCCAGACTCGCCCTCATCTAGCTCACAGTCTAGTCACTACACTGACTGAGCTCCACATGCAGTTTACCTATGCTGTCAGTATCAAGACCGCAGGACAGGTAACAAACAGGAAGCAGTCGGTGGAATAAATCCTACATTACCACATGACCTAGGCTGCCACACTGGGAAGCCAGGAGGAGTCATCGCAGTGAGAGTAAATACACATTAAACCTCAAGTCAGAACAGACAGTCTGAATACCTCACATTACAGACCTTGAGGTTCTTCCACCAGTATTTCCTCTTCAGTTTTCCAGCCTGCTGCTCGAACTGTGAGGCTCCTTGCTGCAGGGCATCTGAAACAAAGCGCATGCCTGTTATGCCCTGACTCTGTTACATTCCTATGATGCAATGTTAGTAATATTAATTAGTTATTTCTGTTGCCTACAAATGTTGTTATATGAATGTTACTGTGGACGTCCTCAGAACTACGTGTAGCTAAGAGCTGAGTCGTCAAGTTCACATTCACTTACCGCTCACAGTTCACACTACATAGCATCAAATAGTAGGATGATCAAACAAATAATAAATTTGGAATGATAGGGAAGAAAGATGCCATGGCCTATTTTGAGGTACTATCCCAATATCTGGAGGGACTGGAAAAACCTGCCAGCTGGCCTACAGGCAGATCTCCATGAGCTGAAGCAGGTTTGCTACTGGTGGCTATGGGGTAGCAGGAAGACAATTTTGTTTGTAATTTACTTAAAGCCACTACAGCATCTCAAATTGGGATAGTGTGGTCAGTACAGCGACTGGTTACGGGCTGGAGTTTGAGTCCCAGTAAGATCAAGACTTTTCTCTTCTCCACATCATTCAGACCGGCTCTGGGGTCCACCCAACCTCCTATCCAATGAGTACCAGGGACTCTTTCCCAGGAGGTAAAGTGGCTAGGGCACGAAGCTGACCACTCACCTCCAGCTAGTACAGAGGTCAAGAAAATGTGGATCTATACATCCACTCCCCCATATGCCTTAATGGTGTAGTGCTTAATTACTTAAACACAGGGACAGCTTTACCTTACCATGCCTTTCCTTATAGCATTTCAAGTCACACGGTATGCATGACAGGATGATCGATGTTTAATGAATGGGAAAGGATTTGGAAGGAAACTGTTGTGGTCTCAATGTGGTATTATCCCAACATTTGCCCGAAGGAAATAAAGAAAAAAACAAGTAACCTCAATCAAGATGGCCAGTGTCCTGGCTGACACCTAATGCAAGGACCTTCAGGATACAAGTCTAGAGTAATGCGATCCCTGTAACAGGCCATGGAGGCCCATAGGGTTGTGACGTGTCGAAACTTTCACATTTTCTAGATAATCGGCTCACACATGGCAGTGAGGTTGTCTGCCTTATGCGCCGGTCACCCTTTACACCCAGGAAGATTCCTGGTACTCATTTCTGTTAGAGGCTGAGTCAACCCCAGGGCCACAGTGCAGCTGGAAGGATTGGGTCAAACGAAAAATCCAATGACTTCATCAGGAATCGAACCTGTGTCCTCTCAGCTTGTAGCATAGTGCACATGTCTAGAGTATTACCACTAAGCCAACCTGCTCAGTTAACACGAGGCGAAAAACAGGACAAAAATGGCAGAATAGAACGAATTATGAGCAAATTATAACACAAATTATGCAGATGAGGACAAACTGAATAAAAAGAAGCGTGAGGAGGAAGAGAATGGATTGGAGTGGAGGAGGAGGAATTTTTGCCTCAGATTTCCCAAGTCAGAACCCAACCAGTTCACCCATCTCATGTAGAACAGCAACATCTTACATGAATTCCTCACTGACTGAAGCTGATAAGTTCCTGTTATCAGCTGCATATGGAATCAGATAACAGAGCATGTGTAACACATCACAGCACAATCTCTCCACCCACTTAAGTCATGCTGCAAATGTATAATAAGGAGCTTCATAATTTGTACTCCAAACCAAATTAGTAGGCTGATCAAATTAAGCAGGATGTGGTTGGTAGGGTATGTAGCATGCATGGCATAGAAGTGCATACAAACTTTTGGCAGAAAAACCTGAAGGGCAAAAACCACTACAAAGGCCTAGACATATATGTGAGAATAATATTAAAATTAATCTTAAAAGAAATAGGATGGGAGGGTATGGAAGGATTCATCTGTCTCAGGTTAGGGACGAGTGGAGGGCTCTTGTGAATGTGGTAATGGACACTTAGGTTTCAGAAAAGATACAGATTTTCTTGGGTAGCTGAGTGACTACCAGCTTCTGAAGGGCTCTGTTTCATGGAGGCAGATGTTTAGTGCTGAATGAATTAAACACATGTGGCATGGCAAAAGTAAACTTGTCTCTGTGCTTAACTAAGCACCTCAGCATGAAGATGAATGGAGGAGTGAAGGTATAGGTCCTGGCATTCTTAACCTCACAACATGGATGTGAACAGTCAGGTTCATGCCCGATCTCATCTGCCCTGGAGAGAATGCCCAGAGTACTCACTGTAGGCCTCACAGCAAGTCTGGATGTTGTGTAGAGGGCATAATCTCTTGCCCCTGCGAGGAAACAAACCCACAATTCCTCAGTCATCAGCTTCGTGCAAAGACCACTTTACCCCTTGGAACAAAGTTCTGAGCACCTACTGGACAGGAGGCTGGACCTCTGCTTGTGCACTGGAAATCACAGCTGTACCATCCAGCCCACAGCCAGTCACTATACCTTCTGGGCTACTCTGGTTCACTTTGGCTGAATATGTTACAAATGGGACAAGAGAAGACAGAGAAACTGACAGCACTATTGGTGTTGCCTTCCTCGGGACAAACAATGAATGCAGGGTAAAACTACTTCCTGCCGGTTGGGCTTCAGGTTTCACAACCATGACTATGAACAGCGCCGCCATCTGGGCTGAAAGCTGGAGACAGCCCAATGTGTCGGGAGGAACATACCGCCTCCATTTTCCGGGTCAAAGAGTATGGGCTGGAACACACACAGTGACATCAGTCATACGATGTCCGTATGGTTCATGTCGCATCAAGTAGTAGAATATAAAGTGTAGTCTCAGCTTTCATCCGTGACATGCAACATCTACCGTACGACAGTCGGAGAGCAAAGAAATGTATTTGATCGCTCTAGTGTGAAGAGGTGGTCATATGGCAAAAGAATCGTACAACATTTTTCCGTATGACTGATGCCACTGTGTGTGTTCCAGCCCTAAGCCGAGCAAGAAAACAGAAGCAAGTTTCGCTTGATCCTTGATCGGTGATATGTTCCCCCAAAATGACAGGCTCTCTCTGAACTATGTGCCATTACAGCCCAGATTTGCTGCTCCCTGTGCAATTCATCACTAGCCTATAGGTAAAGCTGTTCCTGCACTAAGTCATGAAGGCGTATGGGGGAACTGACATATAGACCCACGTTTTAGTGACCTCAGCACTACTTGACGTGAGTCGTCAGCTTCTCGCGCTGGTCGCTTTATCTCTGCGGAAAGAGCCCCTGGTACCCATTACATAGGACATTGGGTGGACCCCACAGCAGATCTGGATGACATGGATTAGTAAAAATTCTTGAAACTACTGGGTCTTGAACTTCAACCCTTCAGTTGTCCAGCCAGTAGCCAGCCACTATACCGACTGTGCTATCCCAGCTCTTCAGCACTAGCCTATTCACTCATTATTAACAACACTGAATCGAGAGAACAAATTTATACAGCCAAATCAGTTATTTTAATTATTTACCTGTCCCCCTGTAATACCTTCTGTGTCAAGTGATTAGGATGAAACAAAGTACAGCACCATGTGACCACATATTATCCCATCCTCATACGTTTCAATTTTCCACCACTGATAATACCAACATGGAAAAATTTTGAAATATCAGTGATGCCAATACCATTTAACATCAAATAAGACTACCTATCTCACTGTGTGACCAGCCTCAAGCCAAGTGAAAGTTGAAGCCCCAAGCTTAAACACCAAGGATGCGATAATGTGCTGCCTGGCCAGGGCTGCCGCACACCTCAGGCAGCAGGGATCGATAAGTATGGAGCAGTGGTGGAAGAAATCCGGAGAAAACCCTGTTCTGGTGCCACTGTGTCTGTTATGAAATCCCCCAGAACTGAACTGGAAGCTCCAGTAGATACTGGCACTTAACAGACTGAGCTGGAGCTAGGATATGGCTTGTCCAACGTAAAATATCCAACACATACATCCTAACTAAAATGTTAAAATTATTTTTTGTTACATGCATGTTCCAAATTATCTTCAACAGCTATTATTTCTCCATGACAGGCTCCTAACCCTGAGCATTCTCTCACACATCTAGTGCAGCTCAGCAAAATATTCCCACCTCAGATAAATGCAAGGCAGCCATAAAGTTCTTGTTAAAGGTAAGCAGTTACAGAGTAATATGATGGGACATGGTCACACAAGTTTCATGGTAAATGGCTGAATTATATCTATAGCATCAAAGTTCGAATTTCAAACAGGGGACAGGTATACGCAACCAGTGCGCTAAATGGGTTCCAAGTAAAAAAGTAAAGATATCCCTGTAACAGGCCGTGAAGGCCCATAGGGTTGTGAGTGGTTGAGATTCCCACATTTTCTAGACAATCAGTTCATATATGGGGGCAAGGTTGTCAGCCCTGTGCCCCGGCTGCCCTTTACCCCCAAGTCCAAGAATATTCCTGGAACTCATTTCTGTTACAGGCTGAGTCGACCCCACGGCCATAGTGCGGCTGGAAGGATTAGGTCATTTAAAAAAATCCAATGACCTCATCGGGATTTGATTCCATATCCTTCCGGCTTGTAGCATAGTGCCTCAACCAACTATGCTACCGTGCATCCCCAGACGGGTTCCAAAGGAACCAGAAAACATTTCTCGACACACAGTTGTGTTATCACTGCTTTACCTGCTCGGTTATCCAGATCAGCCAACCTCTGTTCACGTTCCATCAGGGATCTTACATTTATTTGCATAATTTCCACAACCTGATCGTTGAGCGAGATGTTGACCGTGTGCATAAAAATAACAATAACCCTGCATTAGTTCCTTAACCTACCATGGTGTTCAGACTGGCAGACACATGCAGGGCAAGCATCCCATCATGTTACTCTGAAGTGAAAATAAAATCACTTAATACGAAATTCACATTGCACAAAGACCAAGAGCTATCACACAAGGTGAGCTGTTAGTGGCCATCTGCAGTGCCAGACATGACAGGACACTACAGCAGAATACAGTGTTATGGGTAATTTAAAGCACTCTCAAGGTTCTATAACAGAACCAATTATCATATCAGAAGGTTTAACAGTCTCATTTGATGTTATTTATTTTTAGTTAATTTCATGATAAATGGCATAGAACTATATGATCAGTGAACTGGAAAGGGTGTGGAAGGATGAAGTCACAGCATAATTTAAGACACTATACTGGCATTTTCTTCAAGGGACTCTCAACAAATATAAAAATCTTCCTCTGGACAGCCAGTTTCCAGCATAGGGTTTGAAATCAGGATCTCCAGAAACAGGAGCAGGAGCACTACACACTCATCCATGATATTTAGTATTTGACAAGCTCATACATAAGCTAAAATGATTATCTAATTCTTTAATAACCGACCATCCCAGTGTGTCTGGTTAAGACACAACTTTTTTAACATTTTAACCAGCTCCACAATTATATATCAGCTTCTTTACTACATGTCCAGCCACGGGGTGGGATAACAGGCTGCCTGGTCAGCTGAGTGGCCTAATAAAGGTGCAGTGCCTGTCGGGGGTGGGGAGTAGGAGGAAAGTAAAAGGAAGAAAGCAAAGGCATTTTGCTTTCTGCTTACAAATGTCAAGCCTTTGGTTCCTATAAATTATTACTTTTCTTCACAAATTATGCCTGTAAAAGTAGTTCCTGTGTTTAATTAATTAACCATCATGCCATGAAGAAATAATGGGGAGTGGAGTTATGGTTCCATGTATTCTTAACCAATGATCAATCAGTGAATAAAGAATTAAAGAGTTTTTACTGCTGCTACCACAATTAATTCTTTAAAAAAAGCTTTGTTCTGTAAGTAGGCAAGTGGCAGGTGTCACACACCTCAGGAGCGGGTAACAGACGAGTGCAGAGGGAACCTGCTCCAATTTCTTCACCACTGTTTTTTTCTTAGTTTCTTGGGGTGGGGTGAGACTGAGTCCACTTGGGACACCAGCCACTATTTTGCATATTGTACCAGATCTGGGTGATGGTGGATGATGATGGGTGTGGAGCAGTTGGTGGAATGAGTACTCGAAGAAAATGCCCCAGTGCCACTTTGACCACAACAGATCCCACATGACCTAACCTGGGATCAAGCCAGGCCTGCCATAGTGGGAAGCCGGCGACTAAATGCCTGAGCTTCGGCATGGCCTTGTTCACCATGAATCTCACATGAATGACTCACCATGGTGAGAAGCCAACATCTAACTTCCTCAGTAATAGCATTCATTCGCCAAGGCTCTACAGCCCTTTTTCAGTTTCAGTTTTCATTCATGAAAAGGAAAGTGGTGTAAACAAAGGTGTGGGTACCTACAAAAACAAACTCATCTTTAACTTACAGTGTTTCCTCAGTTCAGTGGTCTGTTAATTCAGCTCAGCCCATTCTAACATGTAATGCTCAGTCTGTCTGCAGTGCTGGAAACAAATTACCTGCCAGTCTGAACTAGAACATCAACAGCTCATGTGGGCTTACAAAGCAATTTGCGTTGGAAGGACTGTATTATCATTCCCACACTCTCCTAAAGGAAACTTAACATGTTTTGTTGTGGTTCCCAAATACATTAGGGCAGTTCTACTGTGTTAGAAATGTTAAACCTGGACATACATTTGATATAAGGAGCAAAACTCACGGAAAACTTGATTTTCCATGGCCTCGTGAACTGCGTTTTCCATGACATAACCAGCAGTTGGCACGTCCTCTATAATGCCCAGAAATAACAAGTGCTGCTGATGAAACCTGAAGATGTGTGCAATGCTTTCAAGTGTACATCTCAGTTTCAGAACATCAATGTCTACTGCTAGGCTGAGCCTCATGCCCCGCACACAGACACGGATCCCATTGTAAGCCCACAGGAAGCACCAAACACCAGCCAACTCACCATGCAATATAACTAACATTATCAGGTTGGCTCACCTGCACGGTTATCTAACTCTGATAGCTTTTGATCACGTTCAAGTACTTTCTCGACATTGACACGCATGATGCCAACTACCTGAATGAAGGGTGAAAACAAACATCAAACACTCACATTTGAAACACAGCAAAGCGCACCATTCCACATGAACAACAGGATACTTTCTAGACTTTGTCCAAAACTACAGGACATATCCCTTTGAAACTAGATCTATTTCTGTCCTCAGGTGATGGGGAGACACTCCTCTGTTGGGTCCCTTAGAACCAGTCACTGGATTGGGGTTAGCTCTTTCTAAGTGACCCAAGAGAGGAGGCGTCTCCCCCTCATCTAAGGATGGAATTGATCCAGTTTCTGAAACATCGTGTTCTCTAGTTTTCTGAATACCGAATGATGGACAAAGTCCAAAAATCCAGTAATTCTCAGTGTTACACACCATCATCAGAATACTTCAGAATCTACATGACAGGTAAGTTGTTCATACCTGTGAGGATTCATATGCAAGTCTTCTGGGTTTTGATACTGTGTGAGCTGACATGCAGCTTCCATTTCAGAGGGAACACACTGTCTCCAGACTACACAATGTCATAACCCACAGAACTGTGATATGCACTGCTCTCTGCACATACAGTGAAAGAACTGTGTTCTCTCTTACACTTGACAATTCACTGGCAATATGAGTTCTTGTTGTGAACATCTGCCTGCACCAGCAGATGCTTCAAGACAAGCCAACATTGTACACACGCACATACAAGAAAGAATTATCAGCAATAAACATCTTCAAAATGTCCAGCTGTACACATGAAACAACACAGGTATGAATGGAATAATTTTGAGTAAATTTAGTACAAGAGGCCTCTCGAAAATGTGGTTGTCAGGCATGCTGGCAGGTAATCAGTACAGATGGAAGTTCTCTTGACTCCACCTCACACTGCACAAAGAAGTCCCGTGGACGGTGGGGACAGAAAGGCTGATGACAGCCCAAACCACTCATCACTATTAAAAGTTATCATGTGGGTATGTGCCCCATTTTGTAATGGACGCGATCTATATGGCTTCTTGTAGAAGCCAGCAACTTTCCCCGACTTACTATCATATGGAATGGTACAGATGAGCAGACGACACAGTTACATTAGCGCTTGTTAATGCATCTTCACCTGCTCGAAGAGAGACAGGACTCTGCATAAGCTGCAGGGAGACATGCTCATGTGGAAACATGAAATTTACATAACCACTGAAGTGTTACAAATGATTTGAAACTTTCATGGCAACTGCATGCAAGTCAGGCAATCATACGTTTCAATATGGAGTGAGTATACAATATTTCAGAGACCGTTTTCACTACATTATCGGGGGTTCCCGTGATGAATTTTGCGATCTGACACCTTCAACAGGGACAGAGGATTCCCTCTAAGCTATACCCTGTTATCGGGCCACCAGCATGCTCAGACAATGGGCAGCCATATGGAAGAACTGATGATGCCGACTGTGACAAGTGACTGATTCTGACCAGTGTTCCCCTTGGCAGACCATAGTGGGAGGGGACACCAGCCACCATCTGACCCCTCAGCAACATGTGCTGTGACAATGTGACAATCGCCACACTAACCCATAATGATGGAGATGGAGACAGTCTCTGAAATGTCACATGTGGACTCCATGTTGAAACAGCTGATCCCCAGAGACTTGAATACAGCAAGTGCACTCTGGTCACAGTTCCTTCACTCCCTTCTCCCTGCAGAATTCGTCAGACCTACATTTACATCTGCAGTAGAGGATCTGTCTAAATCAGATCACGCTTTTCAATGTTCATACCTTTGAAATCAATAAAAAAAGTAAGTAAAGGTATCCCTGTAACAGGCTGTGAGATGTTGAGGTTCCCACATCTTCTAGACAATCGGCTCAGAGATGGCGGTGAGGTTGTCAGCCTTACGCACCGGCCACCCTTTAACCCCAGGCAAGTAAAGGTTCTACAGTGAAATTTTGTTATATCCTTTCATCAGCACTACTTGTATCATTAAATTTCCCATTTATTTATGTTCCAAGTTTTTTGTCTTTTAGGGCTACCTTTTGTTACACCATTCCAGATTATTGCTTAATCCAAATGACCCCCCCTCAATTACTCTGGATTTGCAATGGTTTACTGTACATCAGTGTCTGTGTAGGATTTCTCGCAGATTACCCGTCCTATGCAGTCCTCTATTTGGAAGCTCTTTATGAGCTCAATGTGCACAGTATTCATCATATAATTGCTGTACACATGTGTGATGCAGATCTGTTTGTGTACCAGCTGTACAACACAATATGTTCTAGGTAGTGGGGACATGATCTTGTCTTTCATTTACTTTAAGGCATAGAAATGATCACATAAAACTCACAGAAAGAGGACTGTAATTATGAGGGCTGGAACTTTAATAGTGGCAACTATTTATTTACAACTGATACAAAATAGACGCATGTTTCGGAGTTTTACTGTCCTTCAATGTAGTCACCAGCATTGCGTACAACCCGTTGCCAGCAATTTGGAAGTCGTGGGATAGCTTTAGCAGCACCTGTTGTGTTGTTAGTTCAAATGGAGCGGTCTACTGCCTGAAGAATCTCTGGAACAATTCTGAAGCGAATGCCACAAAGTGGTTTCATCATCTTCGGAATCAAGTCAAAGTCACAAGGGCCTAAGTCCGGGGAGTATGGTGGATGGTACAGCACTTCCCAGCCCAATTGATCGAACAAATCAGCCACAGCTTGGGCTGCATGCAGCCAACCACTGTCCTGCAAAATGATGGGTGGGTTATGCAGAAAGTGTCGCCGCTTCTTTCTCAAAGCTGGTCGCAAGTTGTGCTCCAAAAACGAACACTAATACTGCGCATTGACGGTCTGCTGTAGGGGAACGGTATGCATTACAATAACACCATCACAGTCGTACATGAGAATCACCACAACTTTCACACTGCTGGGGTTCTGACGAACTTTCGATTTTCGTGGTGACCCATAATGACACCATTCATTCGATTGGCGTTTCATTTGTGCCTCATACGATTTGGCCCATGTTTCATCCAGCGTAATGATATGGTGTAAGAAAGCCTCTCCTTCATGCTCATAGCACTCCAAGTGGTTACGAGCAGCAACGTATCATAGCCATTTCTGCATTTCCGTCAAATCATGCGGAACCCATCGTGATGCAATTTTTCTTATGCCCAGGCGTTCCTTCAGAATGTGAAGCACAGTCGTACGTGCTAATCCTGTCTCGGGCCAGCTCACAAATCGTATGGCGTTGATCACTCTCCAGTAACACAGAAAGAGCATACACTTCTTCTTCACTGACACTAGGACGACCTGGCCGACGCACGTCTGTCACATTTTGGTGTCCCTCGTTGAAGGCTTTTACTCACCTTGCCGCTGTGCTGTAAGACAATGCATATTCCCCACAAGCCTCTTGAAGACCTTGATGACATTGTCGTGCTGTACGGCGTCTGGCACATTCAATCTTTATCCAACTCCGTTGTTCCTGTTTCGAAAACATCGTGACAACAGTACATTAGACCGCCAGCTAATATGAGGCTCCGTTCTTCTCGGCAGTGTGCATGTGCATGATGTTGGAAGGTAGAGTCCATTTGCTCTAAGATAAGGTAGGTATGTAACTAACGTGTGGTATAAGTGACATTATCTGGTTCCGTTGCATGGCGTCTCTACAGCAGTTTTGCCACTATTAAAGTTCCAACCCTCGTACATAAAGACTGCAGCATGAATATTCTAAACGCTTATCAGTCCCTAAGTAAATGCAGCAGCAGGATTCACAGAGAATTCCATAAAATTAAATGGTACTGTATTATTTGGTCTACCAATGCTGCCAACCACACAAGTTAATTTGTAAGATCAGAGCCCCAACTCTAAGCTTAGAATTCAACTGCCACACAAGTCCATGAGGTTAGGCATTTGGTTTTCTTTTGAAAAATAAATATCTAAAAACTTCCAAAGTTAGGCTTTGTTTTTACAAATAAACTTCCACAGCTGGTAGTACTAACATGGTGGTAAAATTTTAAACTTACCAGGTTCACATTTTTTTATGAAAGCACAAACAAAAGTTTTGTACCCTAAGGCAAACCAAGTTCCAATTTAACAGTATCCTGTAAGAGGTAATGGTGCAATGGTGATTGATACACGCGCACACATCCTATATGGCCTACCCTCACAATTTTCTGACTGCCTAATTATTTTAACTATTCCAAAATGTAACATTACATGTTTACAGCACAAATATATAAACCTGCATGTTATAAACATCATGGAACATTACCCAAAACTCTCTAATATAAAGATTAAACTCTTATGGGATGTGACAATCTGCTAGATATTTAGCAACAGTTTGGACAAACCTGCCTCCTCTTCTACCCATTGGACTGTGACATTTGGTCGGATAGTTCAAGAATCATAACTATCCTAACAAACGGCAAACTCGGTGGTCGGAATGCTTCCTTGCACTGATGCATTTCACATCATGGCTACATACACGAATCACATAATTCACTATAATAATGCCCTGTTCTCATACAACACCAGCTTCCAACCCTGCTAATTAAGTTAGGTTATGTGTGCCTCTCAGCCACTAAAACGTAGTTTAAAACACTGAAAACATGTTGCAGAAAATTTAGCAAAACCACATAAAACATCACAATATTGCAGTCTTATAAACCACCCAAAGCTACAAGCTGGTACCTCATCAACTTTTGCTTGCGTCTGCTGAAGGCGTTTCTGGGCAGCCTGGTTCTGTGGGTTGCGTTGAGCACCTCCTGCCCCTTCCTCTCCAGTTCCTGAGTACCCTCCTGCACCGTCCATTTTCGTAAATCTATAAAAGTAATATACAGCCTTTACAATTGTGTACGTCTCTAACAATATGTATAAACTGCAAATACATTTCCTTTCGGGCACAACTGTCACACTCCACTACGATAACCTTTACAAACTGCACTTAACGACAATTTATCAGAAACAGCGGATACTCTTCGCAATCGAAATGGACTTGACAATGTTAATGAAAATAACTGTGTTTTGTTCATGACCTATGATGATGACAAGCTCACCACACGAAAGGCAGACGAATCGAAGTTAATAAACAATGTTAATTATTTTGGATTAGTTCATGTCTTATTTAGAACGTTAAACGCAAAACATATTACGATGCTAACAGAATGGCTGTTCTTGCTAACAAATCATCAGAACCTGTGGCACATCACTTTCAAGTATGTTCGCAGCTTCAGTAAATGACGTTTATCAGTCACAAGGGTAAACTGGTAACAAAAAAAAAAAGTTGGTAACTTACTTTTCACAGCCAAACCTTAATACATGTGCTCTGTATATGTTACAGGCAGACTTTAAATACTTACACTGCCACACCCTTATTTACACAGCTGATCTAATTTCTATAACCTGCTCCTAACTCCAACCTTATGTACAATACGACTACTTGTTCCTCTTTTCTTTATAGCAACATGGACGATGGCAGGCTGATAGAAGTTCCGGGTGACGTCATAGGCCATGACTACCGCTGAGACAAGTAGTGGGAGTGAACTTCATTGAATCAATCAAATACACCCAAAGGCCTAACTGAACAAAAGAACAATGTAACTTCATATCGCAATGAGATATGATTATCGGGCCATTCGATTGGATTTCGCGTTTACTGATAGAACAGAACGAAGCAGAAGGGCGAAAATTACTTCGAGAGAGAAATTATAGAAACTCTACAATAGTGCGCATGAATGCAAAACATTTACCAATACATGGCCAGTTACAGAACCCTACATGCGAAAATAATTAGCTCAGAGGGTCAAGATACTCTGTACCTTTTGTTGAAACCGGAGGTTCGTCACCGCAGTTGCAAGAGCCCGCTGCTGGTCCTATCTTGAGCCAGATGAACCCGACCCACACCCCAATAAACACTTAACATTATCATCACTCTAGCAACCATGTCCGGGGGAACGGCCTCAGTTGAAGTGTTCGCCCCGTCCCTACACGATTAAAAGACAAATTCATTCTTTCACATTCTTCATCCCACAAAATGCCAACCCTAAACACACCAGATGTGCTCACGCATCCATTGTCATTAATTTAAAATGCAAAATATGTGTGCGTGTCGCAGCTTCTTTGCAACAGAGAGGCGTTCCGACAATACTATCAGGTACGGCATATGATGACAAAAACATATTGACGTTGATGTAAACAAATCGACAATATGGAACAGAAGTAGAGGCTACACAGATGTCTGAAAGCAAAATGGGACTTGTTGAAGCTCTGGGCCCGGGCCCGGGCCCCTGGATAACTGTAAAAGAAAAATGAAATTAGAAAAGAGAAGGAGCCAGTAGATATTAATACAAAGAGTTGAAATCAAAGTCTATTTTTCTGTCTTGAATTCCCTAGAAGGCTCAGCAAAATTAGTCGTAAACAGCTCAAACGTAAGTTAGTAAGCAAATTTCTGGCTGTTCCATCTCCCTCTCGCATGCAATCTTGGCTGCTCCTAAGCGTAATCCCCATGTTCCTGATTAATATTGTCGCGTGTTGCCTATGCGACAAGGCGACAATACACAGCAGGGCTTATGGCCTCTACCTCGCAAACTGGAGGGTTACAGTCGCAACCTATAGCATCACAACACAGACCAATGATGACGCAAGACCAGGTGCAGATAGACAACATTCAATATCAATATATACCAAATAACATCCCAACCCTTCCACAACAACTTTCCTACTCCCAACCCTATCAACAACCACAATATCACACAGAAACCAACAAGTCTGTATCGCAACCAAAACCCAACGGACATTGGACGATAGCCTCATACAAACGACGTAGAGTTCCTCATGATGATATCATGCTACAGACGAAACAAAACAAATAAAATTCATACTCGCTTGACGCACCCACTACTACAAATCGCTTTTCAGTCATAACCGACGAAGAAGGCAACGACCAACAACACATAGAAATGACTGAAAACACAGCAACCCCCCCCCCCCAATTTTGTCTATGGTGTCAAAAACATATCCCCTCTTATACAACTATTGGATCAGGTAGCTAAACTGCAATATGAAGTTAAAGCACTCACCAACAATCAAGTCAGAGTCCAACCTAAACCCTCTGAACACTACAGGATAATCATTAAGGTCTTATCCGAAAAGACACACCGAATTTCATACTTATAAATTGAAAGAAGAAAGAGGTTACAAAGTAGTATTGAAAAACATGCATCACTCCATCAGCACCGAGCACATCAAAGCAGAAATAGAAAAACTAAATCAGAAGGTCACAAATTTCTGGAATATCAAACACCAAAAAACAAAACTACCTCTTCAAATGTTCTTCGTGGAACTTCAACCAGCCCCTAACAACAAAGACATATTTAATGTAGAATACCTACAACAGTGTAAAATTAAATTTGAAACACCCAGACAAAAAAGAGATATCGTACAATGTGCAAAATGTCAAAGATACGGACACACCAAAAATTACTGTTATCAAAAACCAAGATGCGTAAAATGCGCAGGCGATCATTCAACAGAACACTGTCAATGCTACAACAACAAAACTCCAGCGCTCAGATCGAAACAATACACTCTTCCTGCACCAACAGAGCGCTATCAACAAACACAACCAGGAATGACATTCAGTCAAGCATCAAACAGCAGTACACTCCCGCAACCCCAAGCCACGCGCCAACCGAAACCAGCCAGACCCAATTCAACAAACAAGCGACACACAGGAACTGCAGGCCATGATGAAGGGACTAATGGCACAAATGAGCACCATGCTAAACCTACTAACCACATTACTCACTACAATAAACTAATGAATAAACTCCTCAAACTAGCGTTATGGAGTACAAACGGACTGTCACAACACAACGATGAGTTAAAGGCTTTCATAAACAGCCATAACATAGACGTAATGATGATCTCGGAAACCCACTTCACTAGTAGAAGTTACTTCAAAATACCCAAATATTCAATCTATGATACCAAGCATCCATCTGGAGCTGCTCGCGGGGGAACTGCGATTATCATTAAAAATTCAATAAAACACCCCGAAATATGCAAATACACCAAAGAATACTTACAAGCAACCAGCGTAATAGTGGACGAATGGAATGGTCCACTTACAATCTCAGCAGTATACTGCTCGCCCAGGCACGTCATTACGAAAGACCAATTTCAACAGTTCTACACCACGTTAGGTAACCGATTTCTCGCAGGTGGAGACTACAACGCAAGAGATACCCACTGGGGCTCCAGACTAACTACGCCGAGGGGAAGAGAGCTAAGGAAGACCATAGAAACTAATAACTTAAATCACCTATCCACGGGACAGCCCACGTATTGGCCATCAGCTGCAGATAAAATACCAGACCTTATAGACTTCTGTGTGACAAACGCATACCCCACAACAGCATTCAAGCGGACTCTTGCTTGGACCTATCTTCAGATCATTCTCCTGTAATGATAAAGCTAACCACCGATATAATGGAACGGGTAAAACAGCCAACACTAAATAATAAATTTACCAACTGGGATCAGTTCAAACGTTTAGTCGAGACAAATGTAGACCTGAAAGTACCTCTCAGAAATGGAGAAAAACATTGTAGAAGCAGTAGGACACTTCAATCAAGCAATCCAACAAGCAGCCTGGAAGTCATCACCGACAATAAAGCACGACAAAGAAATCGCGCAAGACTATCCTATAATAAAGGAAAAAATCGCGGAAAAGAAGATCAGAAGGCAATGGCAAAGAAGAAGGACACCAGAAACCAAAGGCTACTTAATAGAGCAATACTAAAACTTAAAGAGTTATTAAATAGTAATAAGAAGTAAGTGATACAGGAGTATCTAACAAATGTAACACCAACCGAAACTACCGAACACTCACTCTCGAAAGCCACAAAAAACCAACCGGCCAATCAGAACAGCACAAGGAGGGTGGGCCAGAAACAACAAAGAAAAGGCAAAAATCTTCGCAGAGCACCTAGTCCAAGTATTTGAACCCCACGCCATAGAACTCAAACCGGATGAAGAGGAAGAAATACAACAATTCCTAGAATCATTTTATCAGCTGGAATATTCCCTTAAGCCCTTTAAAGACAACGAAATAAAAAACATCATAAGCAGTAACTTAAACCCCAGAAAAGCTCCAGGTTACGATTTGATCACAGGGAAAGTATTAAAGGAACTCCCATAAAAGGGAATACGGTACATCACACAAATATTTAATGCAATCCTGCGTACTGGCTACTTCCCAGACCAATGGAAAGTTGCTCAAGTGATACTAATCACAAAACCAGGTAAACCACCAGAAGACCCAAAACCGTACAGGCCCATCAGCCTATTCAATATTAGAGTCAATTTTACCAATCACACAACATATTTGTATTATTATTGCACTATACGTTTCGATCGCAAGAGGTCATCCTCAGGTGTAGGAACACAGCTGTATAATTACACGCAATCACATTCGTCTTCTCACTTATTCGATCCTATATCTTATTCAGGCTCACGCTCAATAATATATCAAGCTCTCTCATAAAACACAAGTTAAAATTGTTCTAACAGTCAAAAGTTAAAATTTAAATTTAAAATTGTTTAAAAAATTTAAAGTTTGTGAATCGAATTTCAATTCAGGTCACTTGTTTTGCTTTCACTTTCACTTGTATTCAGTCACTTCCTACTTACGTTCATCACTGCATCAAGTTCACTTTAACTAGTTTAATTATATTATTGATTAAACGTTCATGAATTACAGTTCAATTTTATTATAGATTGCACTTTTTCACTTTTTGGAGGTCTCGCTGTTCTACTGCGTCTTCTGAAGTTGTGGATCTGTTAGGGTCCATGTCATGATGGCTACTGATACACAACAGGATGCAAGAAACAATTAAAGCCATCAGCCTATTACCTGTTCTCTCAAAAGTTTTTGAAAAAATACTTCTAGCAAGGTTGAGACCACTCCTCAACGAAAACAATCTCATTCCTGACCATGGATTTGGGTACAGACAACAACACGCAACAATAGAACAAATCCACAGAGTCTGTAAGAAGATTACACAAGACCTAGAAGACCACAAGTACTGCTCAGCAGCCTTTCTGGACATCACACAAGCTTTCGATAAAGTCTGGCACACTGGAATACTGTACAAACTCAGGAAACTGCTCCCCCTCAATTATTTTCTTATACTCAAATCTTACCTGTAAAATAGACACTTCCTGGTTAAACAGCAAGACGAGCACACAAACCTCTACCCAATTCTATCGTGAGTACCCAATGCAGTGTCTTAGGACCCATATTACTCGTATACATGATATATACAGCCGACCTACCCACCGAACAGAACGTGCTAACAGCAACATTCGCCGACGATACTGCCATATTGGCCTCGTATGAAAACCCGCAAACGGCGTCCCAGATCCTTCAAACCAACTTGGACAAAATTCAACAGTGGCTTATTAAATGGAGAATAAAACCCAACGAAGCAAAATCAG